TCTAGTGGAGGGTGTCCTTGCCCATGGCAGCCCCCTTCCAACCCAAATCATTCTATGATTCAGTGTACAATTAAGCTGTTCTACCCGTTATTATTTGGATTGCTCCAAACTGTCAATACTTTTGACCACAAAAATACAAAGTACTTTTTCATATCGATACCCCGAATTACAGCAACTGTCTGAGGCTTGTTATTGCAATCAGCCAGCCAAGAAAATAAACTCAAGATGGGGCTACAAAGAGGAGAAAAAAAGTTAATATGCTTTTAATTAAAAACATTTTAACATTATGCTTGTCATTGTGTCCTTTCTCCCTATCCCAACTAGTTAGCTGGGATACTCAGTACTAAAAAAATAATATAAAATCCGATGTTCCATTTTTCTTTCAGCTACTCTGTTCATCTTTACACTAGATTAATTTAACTGAGTTTATAGCTTTACATAAATTCAATTTTAAATATTTAAATGTATACCTCCTTGCTGCTGATACTTAGTGATTTGGCAATCAGTTGAATAAACTTGCTATCTCTCAGAGAGATCTTGGCTCCTGTGGGTACAACAGTCATTTCTCCTCTTAGATTCTCACTCAGCATCTGAAAAGCATGCAATCAAATCCTTTGTTAGCAGAGGAAAAGTATGGTAGTAGTCTAATAAAAAAATAAACTTAAGACAAAGTTAGAAAATTGTTTGAAGGAATTATGGAAACTAACTGAATGCAGACAAAATATTAAAGAAATAGTTACTGTCCCATGAAGATTGCAAGTTTAAAAAGACAAAGGGGGGAAAAAAAAGGCAAATAAAACTTTCTTCCAAAGCAACAAAACCAAATTAAGCACATAACAAAACACCCCAATTTTTAGACTATGCAGACAAAAGTTCCCTAGTGGAGTAAGCTGCAGCCTACTTAAAAAACACAAAGTTAGCAAGTAATTAGCAGAGTGGGGCTGAAGACCAGAATATTCCTAAATGTTGCCTTCTGCCAGCATTCCCAAACCTCAGCATTCCTACACAGGCTGCATACACAGGCCTCAAAATAAAGCCTCGTGCTGCCTGTGGACGGTCATGTATTTCAATGGATTTTCAAACAGCTCCATTAGACCTGATTTTATTAAAGTTTGTCCATAGGGACAGCTTTGAATGCAGAAGGTGTACAGTAGGATTAGTCATTCCATATTAAAGCAGGAAT